TAACTTCTTTCTGATATCCAATCTAAGCCTGCCTGCTTTCAATTTAAATCAGCCCGGTGAGGTGACCAGCTCCCTGCAGTGACCAGCCCGGTGAGGTGACCAGCTCCCTGCGGTGACCAGCTCCCTGCAGTGACCAGCCCCATGCAGTAACCAGCCCCGTGCAGTGACCAGCCCTGTGCAGTGACCAGCCCTGTGCAGTGACCAGCTCCCTGCAGTGACCAGCTCTGTGCAGTGACCAGCTGGCAGCAGAACTAGAAGGTGCGTTATTTCCACTAGCACTGTGATAAGGAAACCTGGTTTCCTTTGGCTCTGCCCCAAGGTCGATATGGCACGGAAAACAATCCATAGATTTGACTGAAGCTTTTCCAAGGGCGAGACCACAGGTCTGCCATCTCCCCCCAGGGAAGCTGGTGAGGATTAATGGGGTAAAACTGGGCACCGGTAGAGCTGCAGGCAAACGCATGGGGAATGAATCACATAGACTTGTGTCCTTTGGGGAAAAAGAGGCTTCAAGGATCAACTCCCTCCTTCAAAGCCACATGTGATTTGTCTTGCCATGCTTCCTCCTCCACTCCACACTTCCCTGCTCCTTCCAGCCCTGTCCTTGGCTGAGACCTGGGCCAGCACGGACCTGGGAACTTATCCAAGCTGAAAAATTGTGTACCCTGCACGGGAGGTGTCTGGAGATCCCATGCTTACTGGGCTGATCCTCAGGCCAAAAGCACTTTGGTGTCTCCCCAGCCTCACCCCTGCCTGGTGCCTGCCAGCTCCTGGAGGAAGGTGGGACAGGGACTGGGCACTGCAGCCCTTTTTGGCCGTGGCAATGGCTGACGAGTCGGTGGGCACAAGGGTGGGCAGGAAGGCACCCGCACCCACGTACTGGGGGAGCTCGGGACCCTCCACGTGGCCCCAGGGTGGGGAGCAGCTCCCAGGGGACAGTGGGGTGGGAAGAGGTTTGGGGGCAGGGGATGCTCGGGAGGTGGAGGAGGGGAGCGGGGCAGTAG